ATCTAAATAAGACTGGTCCTGCCCGATTGTCCTTTTTTTTTTTTCATATCATGAATATGTCAGGCGGTCGGGTTGTTTCTTTTCTCTCTGCGAGCGGCGTAACGGTAGTGTCTGTTGTGAAGACGACTGATCAGGTAGAGCGGGATCCTCTAGTAGTGAGTTCCCTTCTCTTTCCTTCTTTGGGGAACTATTATTTAGTTTCCTAGCGTCTTTGTGGCCAAGGAGATTGACGTGGGTCGTCTACAGTATTATCTTTATAAGGCGATAGTGGTAGCGGTTTCTCGCATAACTTCTCTTTTCCTCAGCTTGTGGAGCGAGGAACTTAGTGGCTACGGTATCTTCTCTTCCATCAGGAAATTTTACATGCGCATACTGAGGATTTGCTTCGATTAGCTCTACTTCATCGACAGATGGGTCATACTTAGATTGTTTTACTTGACGCTTCAACAGTACCAGTCCAGGTTTGGATAGCCACGTTGGTATGGAAGTTCCACTCGTCGATCTTCGTTGGTGGATAAAGAGGCGTTCATGCGGTGTTACATTAGTAGCGGTGCACAACAGAGATCTGATGGAATGAAGAGCATCATGCAAAACTTCTTGCCAGCAGCTGGTCGGTAGTCCTCGCGTCTTCATCGCGAGGAAATAGTCTTCCATAGAGTGCCGTTCAAACGTTCTACTTGGCCGTTCCCTTCTGGGTTATATGGTGTGGTTCGGCTTGACGAGATTCCTTTCTGGAGGAGAAAGTCTTTAACTTTTGCACTCATAAAGCCAGAACCTCTATCCGAATGTATGTAAGCAGGCATACCGAAAATCGAAAACAATTCGCAGAGACAATTTATAATTGACTCCGCGCTAACGTCTTTACAAGCGAAAGCAAAAGGAAATCTTGAATATTCATCTATTATAGTAAGAAGAAACTTATTATGATTAGTCGTCGGCAATGGTCCTTTGAAGTCCAAACTAAGTCTCTCGAAGGGTTGAGTCGCTTTTACTAAATGGAAATTTTCTGTTTTGTAATATTGAGGCTTACTTTCCCTGCATATCTTGCAGGACTGTGTCATGAGCTTAATTTCATCCATAGAGAAGGGAGATTACGGTTTTACAAAATGTGCCATCCGCGTTATTCCTGGGTGACACAAGGATTCATGAAGCTCTATCAGCTTATCGGAGGTCATGCTCATTGCTCTTATCCTAGAAAATGTATCCGCTGGTACATTCTCTTCTCCTGCTCTGTAGATTATATCAAAATCATAAGTGGATAGTTCCATCCTCCATCTCATTATCTTATCGTTCTTAATTTTGCTCTTTTGCTTGGTATCAAACATGTAAGCTACTGACTTCTGATCAGTAATTAACATAAAATGCTTACCCGTAAGGTAGTGTCTCCACTTCCTCACGGCTTCTACGATAGCCGCTGCTTCTTTCTCCACTGAAGCGTGCTTAAGTTCTGATCCGCTTAACATCCTCGAAAAGAACGCAACTGGGCGACCGTTTTGGTTGAGAGTGGCTGAAAGAGCAAACTCGGAAGCGTCTGTTTCCACCTGAAAGGGCTGTGCTTCGTCAACAGCTTGGACCACAGATTTTTCGACATCGGACTTAAGTAGATTAAACGAAGTAAGAGCATCGCCTACCATTGGAAATACAGTATTCTGTGTCAGTGGTCTTACTTTTGCTGCAAAGTCTTTGATCCATTGAGAATAGTAGGAAAAGAGACCCACAATCCGTTTCTGTTCTTTTAAATCACGGGGGACAGGTAACTCTCGCAGAGGTCTCAATCGTGCCGGGTCCGGCTTTATTTCTCCATTAGCGATTATACTACCGAGGATGCAAATACTGGTTGTTGAGAAGGAGCATTTGTCTTGATTAAACGTCAAATTTCGCTTTCTAGCTGCTTGAAGGAACTTTTCGAGATTTATGTCATGCTGGGCTTGGTCCCGGCCACAAATCGTGATGTTGTCAAGATACACAAACGTGTCTTCTAGACATTCTTTAGCGATAAAGTTGTCCATCATTCTTTGGAAAGCTGCTGCTCCATTCGTTACTCCAAATGGTACTCGACGGAATTGGTACAAACGCTGGTTAGCTTCGAAAGCAGTATATTTCTTTTCTTCTTTTTTGAATTGGGACTTGATGATACGCACTTTTCAAATCAACGGTGCTGAAAACTTTGTACTGAGCGATTTTAGAGACGATATCATCTATTCTAGGCAAAGGATAAGCATTCAGGTGTGTGAATCTATTTATAGTTTGCGAGTAGTCAATCACTAATCTTTTTTTTTTTGTCGATCGTTTCTAGTTACGACCACTTGTGCTCTCCACGGTGATTCACTCGGTTCAATTATACCTTCATCTAGAAGCCTTTGTACTTCAGTTGTAATAAATTCTTTGTCTTCTCGGCTATATTTCCTTGATTTAATAGCTATCGGTTTACAACCCTCTGTTAAATGTTGGAACAAAAGTGGGGGGTCTAGGTTCAAAGCTGTTAAACTGCAAAGTTTCAAAGGAGGGCAGAACCCCGTACTGGATAGTGACACTTTCGTGCAGGGCTTGCCAAGTTTGCCCTAGAATAACATGAGTACACAGATTGGGCAGAATATATAGCTTAACCTGAGAATACAACCGGCCTTTTAACGTTATATCACTAAGACAATATCCTTGCATTTTTGTGGAATAATTACATGTAGCCATCGTAACTTTTTCTTTGGTCTGATGAACTGTCAATGAAAGTTGCTCAACCAAATCAGGATGTATGAAGCAATGAGTACTTCCTGAATCTACCAGAGCTGTAACAGTTCTTTCTTTTAAACGAATGTCAATACATGAACTTAGCAATGACTCCCCCATTGCAGCTAGAGTTATGTAAGCTGATTGCGTTAAATTAGAGACTACTGCTGAAGAACGGCAAACTCTTTGGTAGTGCCCTCTTTTTTTACATTTATTACAAATAGCTTCTTTCGCAGGGCATAATGACCGGGGTGTTGCTTATTACCACAAAGAAGCACTTAGCGGAACGTGAAGTGGAGGCTAAATACCTCTCGCTTAGTCCTTCTTCATTATTTTCGTCATGTCCGTTAGATGCCGTAACAGCAGCGCTTGTGAAGGGATTCAATTGTATGTCTCCGATGATTTTGTGCCAAATCCCAAGCTCGAGCTTGATCAAATGCCGTTTGTAAATCCAACTGTTTATTCTCCAGTAAACGTTGTCGAATGCTTCCCGACAATAGACCACTAATGAAAGCATCCCGAATTGCTTCATCCCGATATTGAGCAGCAGAGACTTGACGAAAATTGCAGTCTTTACTTAGGTGTTTCAGTTCTTGTAGGTATTCGTCAAGGGTTTCGCCTGCTTGTTGTTTCCGTGTTGCTAATTTATGCCGAGCAAAAATCTCGTTCGGAGGCTTGACATATAAGGTTTTCAGCGTAGTGATGGCTTCATCGTAGGTTTCAGTATCACAGAACAGTTGATAAACATCAGAGGTGACATAATTCGCCAGAATGTGTAGTTTATTTATTCGGGTATCAGGAATGGACGGTATTGCATCGATGAAGTTCTCAAATGTCGCGAGCCAGTGCGTCCAGCGTTTTGCAGCGCCTTGCGCGTTCGGAATAACATCAAACCGTTCAGGTCTCAAAACTTTATCCATAGGTATAAGGAGTAGTGTTGAGTAAATTGAAGTGAAAGTTTGAATTCAAGTACACAAAGAACAACCTTTCAAAATAAGGCTTTACTCAACACTAAATAAAAAAACTACATGTCTCTTTATAAATAATTATCTCAAACTAGGCGCGGTTACTAAGGTGGGTGTAATAATCATGTAATGTTTACTTCATGTAATAATCACTACACATACTCTAGATCCGCCCCTGTATTTAGCTGAAGAAACGATACGCTTTAAAGGGAGGGATAAAAACTTGCTTTTATAAATATTATACAAACTTTTATTTTTTCATTGCACAAAAAAATCTGGCTTTCAATCAAATTCTGTCGACTCAATCAAAGTTCTACAATATTTAAACGCAGTGAAATGCTTCATCTATGTTCTTTTTCATTTTCAGTGCTATTGATACATAGTTAATGATTAACTGGAATTGCTGGAATTTTTTACATAATTTATAGATATATGTGGTGTGACCATATGTCTCAATAATTTCGTTAAATCATCTCTTACATGACAAATTGTATTTATAAATCTTGTGTATGTAGTAGTTTTGGTCGAAAACAACTCGGCCAAACATAAAGCATTTATAAAATTAAAAGTGAACTCTTACTGTAGCTATAAGTTAACGTTATGGTGTGTGGTCGGCGTGTTGCATGATTTTCATAAAGGATTTTTTATTTACAATACAGATTAAGAAAATTCCATTGTTCTTACAAAAATAAATGACGTCGAATTTGTTCCAAAGTGTAACGCTCATTTTTAGTATTTTCAATAACTTTCACAAGAGTTATATTTTTTGAGTAAATAGTAAAATGAACTGAAAAAGTGAAAGTTCAACTCGTCAGCCTAGTGCATAAAATTTTTTGCATATTTAGCTTTCACACATTTTGCGGCTTGAGTTATAATGGCAGAAGCAAGTATCTTAAGTAAATTCAAGTTATGTTATTAATATTTTTAATATATATTATAGTGGATAAAGTGAGGACAAGAAAGGATATTCCAACAGTAAATTATTTTTCAGTCCAAATTTACATAACGATCTGCAGGTGTCTTTCACGCTCATTTCGTGCTGAGATGAATTCAAATGATGAGATCGACCTTTGGACAATCTGCACATTATTTGAATACAGCATATCGAAACAATTTTTCTTTTTCTTTTGAATAGCAATACATCCTTACAAAATGCAAGCTCAAAAAAATGTGGCTTACATGAATGCATTTTAAGAATGAATTTTTCTTCGTCCAATACTTTTTGTACGAATCTAAGTGATTCATTATCGTTTTACAGTATTACATCATATTCCTGGATCTACTTACCATATAATGAAAAGAACAGAAACCCTGCAGTTTGATGATAGTTTAACACTGACGACATCGTTCATCGTCTTTAAATTTCTTGGCATTTTAACCATCAAATTGTCCATTTTCTTCGGCAATGGGTTCATCTTCATCGAAGCCAGTCATTTCTAGAAACAGGGAATTAACTGAAGAAGAAAGACGTTTAGAAGAAGCCAAGTCTCGCATTAAGAAACATGGTTCAATTGGTGTTGATGATTTCATTCAAGATAATGATGATGTTGATATGATTCAACAAATCGAGTTATGGATAAATAAGGAAATACATATTGCAATAACTGGAGAATCTGGAACAGGAAAGTCATCTTTTATCAACGCTGTGAGAGGGTAATAATCTATACTTGATTACGTTGAAATAGATTAGGAAACATTTTTTGCAAATTAAAGAGAAAACCACACTTTGAAAAAATTTGCTTATCTATATATATTTTTTTTCGAGCAAGGCAAAGTAAAATAAAACTATATGTAAGTTAATCTTTGTTAATAGTACATATTTGAGATGCTACATGTTCTTTGTCAACACTCCAATTCTTTTGTATTGTTGCGTGATTACATAAAGCACGCGTGATTGACACAAAGTCCTTGAACTAATCAAAATCTTTCTTGCATCGTTTACGCGCAAGTGTCACTAATGAATCGTATCATGAAACATGATTTACTTCCATATCACATTGCCTCGTATAAGATTGGTTTGCAGTGAATTTTGTTGTGCTATTTGACGACTATTATGTTTTGCAAATATAAGAAAAACTGTTCTCGAGTAGCCCAATTGAACGTCGAATTGGCGTTTTGATATCGCTAATTATATGTGTTAAAATTTAAAGTTTAAATTTATATGACTTGAATTGACATGCAAAAAAATTTCATACAATATATTTTTGTAGACTTCAAGCAAATGATAAGGGTGCAGCACCAGTTGGTACTAATGAGTCAACCTTAGTGCCGACTGAGTACACTCATCCTGAAAAAGAAAATATTAAACTATGGGATCTACCAAGCATTGGAACATCTACATATCCTAATCTAGAAGAATATTGCAAAATTGAGGGAGGTCTAAAGAAATATGACGCTTTTCTTATTTTTTCCAAAACACGATTCACTCACCATGTTCAAAAGCTAGTTGAAAAAGTTTCAAAAGAGCTTCGAAAGCCTTTCATTTGCGTTTGCAAAAACGTTGATCTCGATCTGAAAAAAAACAGAGAAGATGAAGGATTACAAGTTAATGAGGCCTCAGTCATGGAAAACATAAAGAAAGACTGCTTGAAAAACTTGGGGGATTTGATTGATGATGAAAAAGATATTTACACGATTTATAACAAGGCTCCAGAGAAATTCAGCCAGTTGTGTCGGGATGTGATCTCAAAGTTGATAGAACGTCGAAATGTACGCTTTTTAGAGACCTTGGATGACATTTATAGCTCAATTGCTAAAGATGAACAATGCGCACTTCTTGCCCAAGCAAAGGATCACGTTGATCGTCATGGCGTTTCTGGTATCAAAGATTTTTACCATCGTCAAATTAATGCGTTCAAGAAGATGAAAATAAATCTTGCCATAACAGGAAATTCTGGAACAGGAAAATCATCTTTTATTAACACCATGAGAGGGTATAACACCTTACTTCGAAGTAGATATAAAGCAGTATAACATTATATTCAGTCATAAAACGAATGATTATACTGCTTTTTTTTTATATGAATATTTTTTGGTTTTTATGTTACTATATGTTAACTTCAAAATCGAATCATTATTTTCAGACTTAAAGCTTACGATGCTGGTGCAGCACCAGTTGGAACTACAGAAACGACAAAGGAGCCCACTCCATATTTACACCCAAATAATAAAAACATCATTTTCTGGGATTTACCTGGCATTGGAACACCTACATACCCCGATCTTAAAACATACTGTAAAAAAGTTGGTGGTCTGGAGAAGTACGATGCATTTCTTATTTTTTGTAAATCGCGATTCACCCACCATCATGGAGAGTTAGCCAAGAAAGTTTCAAAAGATCTCGACAAACCTTTCTTTTTTATTCGCACCTATGTTGACATCGAACTCAAGAATGCGGAAGGGGACCAAGGACCAAAATTTGATGAAGCATCTGCATTGGAAATAATAAAGGAAGACTGTCTTAAGAATCTGAAAGATTTGATCTGGCATAAGACTGACATATTCTTGATCGACAACAAGGTCATGGAGAAATATGATTTTGGTCGTTTGATCGAATCTATCTCAGAGGCTTTACCACATCGTAAAATGGAATGCTTTATCCTTTCTTTGACAAATGTGACTCGTAACATCATAAAACGAAAGGCAAAGCTGTTGAAAGGTTTGTTATTTGTGAGAAATTATCTGCAGTGCCGTAGCCATGTATTCATACATGAATATGTTGTGTTGGTTTTATGCATGTGAATTTATTTTAAAGAATGTGGGTTAACCATGATGCATTGCGCGTTAATCACAGCGTGACAGCCATTTTGTAAGTCAAGAAAATGGTGGATTTTGTTATTGTAGTCCATGCAACTTAGATAAACGATAATAATTAATGTAAAATAGAGTTTTTAGTCAATGTTTTTGCTAACTTTTGAATAAATTAAACGACGTATAATGACAAAATTGCATTCAGTGTGCCGCAAGCTTAAAAAGTAACGATGTAAACATGAACAAAAGAGCGCAATGCATCTTGGTTGACCCACATTCTTTAAGCTAGAAGATTCTTAGCAGATTTCCTTAATTCCATCTTCTACAATTATTTCTTATAACATTTCTAGTTCGAGCAACTGTAATGGCTGCTGTTGCAGCTTGTGCGATGGACTTTGCTCGTGTTTCTGGAGATGGGCTTTACACAACTTTGGTTTTAAAAGAAAGAGCTTCTTACAAGAACAAATTCGGTCTTCCCGATGAAGGAACTGACAAATTTAAGGGGTCAAGCGAAGAATCATCTCTCTTATTGAAATATTCTGGGGATGCGAACTTTACTCGAAGTGCAAATATGTTATCGTTTCTTGACGTTCATAAATTTCTTTCAAACTGCATTGATGATATGGAAAAAGTTGCTCTTGACATTTGGGATGCAACAGTTAAAAGTTGCAGTAAATGACCAGAACGCACGGTGCTTGTTTGGCCAAATTTTTTTTATTTATCCTTCAACAACAATACTTTATTTTATAATTGATGGTACAAAAAATATCTACAGTAGGTGGTTTTGTTAAAAACGTCAACTCTAATATAGAATTGTTTGAAATAGCTAATAGTCGATTGGTTTAATATTATTTACAAAACTCGTTTCACTTAGGTACGCGTTGCGGGCACGTTGATAATTAGTACATGATAAATTTTTCCCATGTACCTATTGGTTTCCAAGTGTAATTCTCTTCTTTTAGTAACGTGACATTAGTAATGCACGTGTTTTGCAACGAAGGTCAATTGTATAAGCTGTTTTTTTTAAGCTGAATAAATATTATGATAAATAATTCTTGGAAATTAAATATAATGTTATGAAAAATATAAACATCTCGTTTACAATAACGGAATAAAATACAAGCAATGATGTCTTTAAAATGCTTGTGTGTTTGTCTAATACGTACATTTAACTTTTAACTTTTGACGGGGCGGGTGGCTGAATGGTTAATTGCGTGAGCTGTAAGCCAGACGGCGCGGATTCAATCCCGACTCGTGGCACATGTGGCAATGTGTCTGTAAACCTAGCCCGGGTTGACCAAAGCCATGTGAGGGAAATTTGGTAGAGGAAACTATGTCCTCAAATGGACTGTATCTGCATCTGCAATGTTGCAGCCTTGTCACACTGTTTCACGCTTATATCAGCGTTGTAGTTGCGTGAAAGGTACGAGTGATTGTAGTCTGGTCAGCTGCCTTCACTATAATTTCAGTAACCAGGATGTTCCACTTTGTGTGGAACCCTCATACGTCGAAATCGACGGAGTCCATTATTATTACATTTAACTTTTAAATGAGATAATTTTCTGACAAGAAAGAAATCAACTCGACGCACGATTAACAACAGCTAAATTTTACATAACGTTACAACCCGGGACATTGTTTAAATTGACCATTAATTTGTTGAACAAACAACCTTATTTCATGCAATGCTATTTTGTTCTTTCTATAAGCACCTTGCATGATGTCGAATTGCTTGCACCAATCTTGTGTATAAAAAAGGTTTTTGTGATATTTACATATCTTGATATTATGTTTTATTTCATTGTTATGCTGCATGCATATATCTATGAATGCCATAAAAATAGTGTTCGTACCTTACATAAAAGAAATTTGTTTTATACTTGCGAGAATGAATTCATGTAACCAATATTTGAATTAGCAAATTGACGTCAAATTCTTTAATTTACATATCATAAAATCTACAATACTTTCAGATGCAAACATGCAGGTAATCTTAATTTCAATCAATTTGTAGCTGTGTAAATCAAGTTTTGCTTTATATTATATTTAGAATTTTGCCTGAAAACGCTTTTCAGATGCAAATTATTATAATAAAATACAGACTAAAGCTAGTATACAAGATCTATGTTCAACATCCAGAGCAAGCAATTTATTGGAATTACTAGCAAAATAAATATATGAATATTATTGTATTTACATAATCAAGACAACTAAATATACTGTCTAACTTCTTGTGTGAACAGGAAAATAAGCTGAAAAAGTGAGTGTCCCACTCTTCAGGTCAGTAAATAAAAAATTCATCCCCTTTCGCCCATTTGTATATATTAGAAACTATTAGATATTCAGGATAACTCAAAAAACTTCTCGTCTTTAATATCAGCTGACATTTAGATTTTACATGTTTCAGGAACATCAATGCCAAAACTTTTTTGTAATAGTTTCGAATTTTGTAATAATGGGCATTTTGTGTTGAGTCATGTTCCTGGAACTATTTATCATACAATGAAAAGAACAGAAACTTTGAGTTAAATTTCGCCGTAACTGAATCAAGCAATTCAGGAAGGTTGTCATTCATCAACGCTTTTCCAGGGTTAGTTTCTTTTTCTTCTTTTGCTAAAGTAATGGTATACATTTACACGTTATCTGTGTTTGTTACTTAATAATAAATAAGGAATGTAATGTATTTAATAATGCAACAATGTTTTACTCAGATTAAAAGCTTGCGAAGAAGGGGCGTCTCTAAATGACGTATCAACTTTGGGAGCTACAAATCTTTATTTGAAGTGCAAAAATGTCGAGCTTTGGGATCTACCTGGCATCGGAACATCTGAAAACCTCAATCTTAAAACATACTACAAAAACGTTCGTGATATCCAGAAGTACGACGCATTTCTGTTATTTAACAAATAAAGATTTACAGAAAATGAAATACAACTAGTTAAGAAAGTTTTAAAAGAGTTCCATAGACCTTTTGTTTGTGTTCATACGCATGCACATATAGACGATAAGAATGCCGAAGAGGTCAATGGATCAAAGATCGACAAAGAAACTGCAATGGAGGAAATAAAGAAATGATTCTTTAATAACCATAAAGGTTTGGTAAAAGATGCAACTGATATCTACGTATTCGAAGACAATGACAGAGGGAATATGATTTGGACTGTCTTCCAGAAGAAGTCATCTTGAAGTTATTGAAACGTCGAAAAGATTACTTTTTGAATTTCTTGAACTATGTCATTTACAAAAACAAGAAACTAACCGAAATAGAAACACGTTTAGCAGAAGCTTCGTTTCACGTTACAAAATATGGCTTAGTTGATGAATTTATTCAAAATCAAATTGAATCCTGGGAAAACGCAGAAATAAATCTTGCAACTACAGGAGATTCTGGCACTGGAAAATCATATTTTATTAACGCCATAAGAGGGTAATAATAACTTTCTATTAACAATGAAATTAGGTAAAATTGCAACTGGGATGAAACTGCAATTTTTATGAAGCCCTTTTTTGTCATAATCGATTTCCTTTTCTGTATTATAAGAGCTGCGATGTTACTTTTTACGTTTTCTTTTCAATTCAACATTTATTTGTTTTTACCTGTTTTTTATATTATGTTAATATTGATTTATTTGTAACACTTTATTTGTGAGGCAGCTTTTTATTACGCAGTGTATTTAATGACATTCATCATTATCATCAATGTGTGACAAAAATTTGACATAACATACTTTTTTAGACTCAAAGCTTATGAAAAAGGTGCAGCACCAGTTGATATTACCGAAGTGAAAACACTGCCCACTGAGTACTCTTATCCTGAAAATAATAGTGTCACATTGTGGGATCCTTGCCTTTGGATCAATTGAATATTCGAATCCCACAGAATACTTCAAAAAAAATGCACTTAGAAAGGTACGACGCAATCCTTATCTTTTGCAAAACGTGATTCACCAGCTATGACAAAGCACTTGCAAAAGAATTTTCAAAAGAGCTCAAAAGGCCTTTCTTTTTGTTCACACCAACATTCATCAAGGTCTTATAAACGCCTAGGAAGACAAAGGATCACAGTTTCATGAAACATCCGTCTTGGAAAAAATAAAGAAATATTGTTTCGAGAACTTGAAAGGTTTAATTTATGATGAAAATGATATCTTCCTAACTGATAACAAAGTTACAGAGAAATATGATTTTGATCGTTTACGTGGAGATGTCGTCTCAAAACTACTAGAACGTCGAAGTGAAAGTTTTTTATAGTCTTTGAACTATGTAATGCACGGAAAAGACAATAAGAGAAGATGAAAAATGCCCAAATTAAGGATTACATTGAAAGTCATGGCATTTGAAACAATATAACCTCATAGTCAGTCATAAATTAATTAATACAATATACATATCGTTTTCAGACTTAAAGCTTATCATGTTGTCGCAGCACCAGTTGGGAGTGAATTTAAGGCGTTGAACAAAAAATCATCGGATATCATATTGAATTATAGTTCAATCAATCTCGAAACTCTTATTAAAGATTATGCTATGGATTCTGATTTTATTACATTTTTCTGGAAGAAGTCGCTATTAGAGTGATGGTATGGTACGGTTCATAATTTTTTTTCAAAATGCATCAACGATCTAGAAAAAGTTGCTCTCGACATTTGGGATGCAACAGTTAAAAACAGTCGTTTTGACGAGAATACATTTACGCTATTGCCCAAAATTATTCATTTGCCTTTACAATTTAAAAACCTATTTATACCTGATGGTACAGAAATATATCTCGTGATTTTGAAGAAAATATCAACACTAATTTAAAGTTCTTTTATTTGATTATTTTAATAATATTTACAGCACTCGTTAAATATACGTACATGTACCCGTGCATACATAGCAAATGTTAAAACTTTCACATTTTGTCTTTTCCAAATGTAATTGTATGCACTCCCTTAGTAAAAGCAACAGGAAAACGCATTTACTTTTAGAAAATAGTTTTTATCATAATTTTGTTGTCTCTTCTTAGAAACAGAATCTTTATAATATTTATATTTCACAGTATTGATTACTTTAATATGATGTAAAATGCAAATACTGCTAATTATATAAATATGTTATAAAACTGTTCTTTTTCTCAAAATCTGAAGAAATGTTATGCTGAATAGTTTTTACTATAATGTTATAGAAAAAACATAAGTATCTTATTGTTAAAAGTTGAACCATTACCAGCTAGCCGACAATTTTGTGTAGTACAAAATGAAACATACTCCAAATAAAAAGTTCACGTTCAACTCAATATTTGTGAAGGAAAAAAGACAACTTTTATTTGAATAGTTATATTTTGAATTTATTGCAAATTCATCATCGGACTATACTTTAACGAACTCTATTTATTATATATTTCCCTAATCATTTTTTGACAGAGACTCTTCATCTAAAATTAGTTACGTTTTAAGTAGAGAAACGAAATAGCAACAGCCATTCAAGTTATAACGAATCAATTGAGTTGCCACAATATATACGGAGCCAAGTAAGGTTTTACATTTTTTTTATCGAAAAATTGAACAGAAGTTCAGATTATTGTTATTGATATATACTGATTTGAAAAATAATGCAATGTTCAAAGGTCAATTTTGATGTCTGGCATGATTAGGTAACTTTTGTCTAATAACAAATTACCTTAGATTACTTTATCCCTCATTCTCTACAGTGAAGTTATTTACAATATTTGATGTTGCAATGATGCATTTTACTGTTTGGTAAACTACTGAATGTAGAAGTAGGCCAGAATCAAATTTACTTTATTTAATGCAATATGATTTACATAAGCCCCGTTCTCAATTTTGTTGATACATAAAATCAAAGATGCTATAACAATGTTTATGTGACAATAGTATATGATAAATTTGGCCGACAATTTCAACTGATGTTTATCTTAACAACGTTGCATGTCACTGGTAAAAGACCAATGTCATTGGAAGTAGTGACATGATTGCAGTAATTTACTGCTTTCCATTTGTCTGTTGTGGAATTCATCTTGTAATACTTCAAATATTAATGTGTCGATTTTTGTCCAAAAATAGTATAAACAAATTCTTTCGTTTCTCGTACATTTAAATCACCCCAGGAAGGGGGCCATGGAAGCTATCTCAGAAATT